GGCCAGGGCAAGTGGGGATACTTTTTGGTCGGCGGCTCCAAGGCAACGGACAGGGAGCGGAAGCGGCGTTCGGGTCACGGCACGGGGCTAATTGCAAGACAGTTCGCCGCCAGCCAGTCGGCGGACAGACAGCTCGCACCTGCACGTGCACTGAACAAAATGAACAGAACTCGAAAAGCAAACGTACAAAGGCGCAGCAGCCCAAACCACAGTGGGCAGGCCGCCGCGCGCGGCGAACGTGAGGATGCCCCGAAGTGAGTCGCCAGCGCGGCGCCAGACTTCCGCGGCCGACCTGCACAAGCCGAACGGCTGAGCGGCCGGGGCCAGAAACAGTGCGCGACAGCGGGGAAAACCAAAGGCTGCACAGGCGTTGTAGGCTCAACCACTCAGCGCTCAGTCCCCAGCGATCCGCATCGCAGTGCCGAGGGGAGAGCCATGCGACTGTGCCCAAGGCGCGACTGCGCGGTGCTGCCTCATGAAGCGGGTAACTCCGCTGGCGTGGGGAGCGCCGCCGTCGGATGGTGATGGTCGGCACGCGTGGTGGTGGCGTCGTCTGCGCTGCCTGCAAGGGGGGCTCTGCTGCCGTGAAGCTGAGGTGGCCAGCCAACCCAGACTGTCGCATGGCGCTTCCCCTGAGCCCTAGCGCCACCGCACGCCGCGTGCCCCCCCTGGGCCGTGGAAATTAACGCTGGGGGTGCAGAGCAGGACCACGAGCAGCACGGACCACGGCGCGAACAGGGAGGGGGGGGTCTCTGCCCCAACGCAAGTGCAGCGTCGGGCGAGCCCTGGAGCCACGGGTGGGGAACGCCCACCAGGCCCGGGAGGGGAGAGGCGAGGGGGCGCAACGCCTCACCCCACGGCCAGGTACCCTGCCGTGGGCCAGGGGCCGTGGTCTGCCACTTGGATCGTCCTGGGGGTCGCAGCTAATCGCCGCTAGCACTTGCATGGAAGAAAGGGGGGTCGCAGCTAATCGCCGCTAGGATCTATTCTTTACGTCGCGGGGGTCGCAGCTAATCGCCGCTGAAGTCTCTGTTGCATGCGCGCGAAAGGGTGACGGCCCACCGGGGCCGCAGCCAACGCGGAGGATGCGCGCCAGCAGCGAGATGCGTCCCCGGAGGGTGGTCCTGGGGAGTCGCAGTTACTCGCCGCTGGAGCCGAAGCTGCCAAAACTGTGGCCTGAAGTAACAGGCCGGTAGGCTGGCGCGCAGGGGGGGTCGCTTCTGCCGACGTCCCCCTGTCACCGGAGGGCGAGTGGCTGTCGCCGTTGGACAGCAAAGCGGGTGGTCCCAGGACCGGTCAGCCCAGCGGGCTGGTCCCCTGATGAGCAGGGGGGTGAAATGTCAGGGATGGGTCCACGTATCCAGTGTGGGCTGTCTAGCTATGCTGCGCCTTGGGTGAGATGTGGGGTGACCTCCGCCCCAGCGGATGTTGCCCCATGGCATTGCGGCCAAGGCCGGGCGCTGCGAGGTGAAACAAGCCCCGACGGGGGGGTGGAAGGTGGCGAGGGGGGCGGAGACCGCTGGCCAGGAGGGCCAGGGGTGCTGTGACAGGTTGGCCGGGCCCTGCTAGCCCTGGGCGTAAGAGTCCTCCCCAGCCCACCGTCCCCCCTGGGGGGGTACCGCTAACCCTTTCCTTTCCAGTCCGTGTCCGTCCATGGGGCATTCTGCTGGCCCCAGGAATTCCGCTCCTGCCAGTCCTGCCACTGGCCAGGGGTGGCTGAGCCGATGGCGCCTGCCCATCGGTCATGCGCGGCTGCAGCGGTGGCTGTTCTGCCCTCTGCTGTCCATGGGGCGGGTCTGCTGTTGCTGTCGTGATCGTGTTGAGCGTGCGCACGGGAGTCGCGGTGCATGAGCTTCATGTGCTTGTCCTTGACAGAAGCCCAGTGGACGTTGAGCCCTAGCTCACTGTCCATCTTATAGGCGTCGTACCCTGCGTCGCCCCATGCCTGGAGGAATTCGCTGCACGACTGGACCGCGTGTAGTTTAGGGATGTGCTTTTGGCTTCCGCTGAGCTCCTGTCTCAGGGCAGCCCTCTTCGCCCATGCGGCCCAAATTCAATTGAACGCTCCTCCCAGCGTCTTTTGCAGGCGTATTATATTATCCTGCATTATCCTGCACCGGCCCCTTCCTCGCAGCGTCTGCAGCTGCAACGGGACACATGTACATGGGGATGCCTTCCATGGGATCGTTTGGGTCTTCGCGGGGCGGCTGCGTGGTCCTTGTCCTTCCAGGGCGCCTCGTAGATCTCCACTCGCGCGGGGTTGCCTCTTGGAGATTTGGTGGCGCGACCTTTTCCGTCCTTGGTGTCATCCCGCACGGGCCGTTGGCGGCCCTTGTCCCCGGTCGCGCGGCTGAGGATGCGGTCGTCCCTGACGCCGTTGATGCTCCAGGTTGAGCTGCTTGCTCTTGGTGGGCTATCTCTCGCCCTCGTAACTTCACGGATGGCGTCCCGATCTACGATCCGATCGAACGTGGTCCAGGCATCGGGCCTGTTGGGCGGGTCCTTGAAGAAGTTGAGGGGGTCGGAGGAGTCCTCCTCCTCTCCATCGTACGCCACAGGGGTTGGGCTGACCGCCGGGCTCGTGTCTTTGGCTGTGTCTGACTCGCTTTTCTTGTCTTCGTCCCAGTCGACCCCTTCCGGCTCGCGTTCGTTTCTGCCTGCCTGGTTGGGTGGGCCTTTCCCTTCGGTCGGAGGACCGTCTCCCCCGTCGGCTCCTGTAGCGAAGGGGTTTGCTCTGGGAGCGTAGTCAGTCAGCAGCGTCCTCCCGCACAGGTCCGTGGCTGGCCGTTGGGGGGGGATCTGCGGTTTCGCCTGCTGTTCAGCCAGGTTGCTGCTGGGGACTCGGCCGCCGCTGTGGAGCCTCTGTCTGCCTCGCGTGGGTCTCGGTGGGCCAGTACGCTGATGGTTCCGTAGGCAAGGGCGGCGCGGTCGATCCCCATGAGGGATGTCAACAGTGTGCTGATCCGTTGGCGAAGGGGGAACAGTCCTCGCTGTTCGGCCCGTCTGTCAGCGCAACTGCACCACAGGTCCTCGTACCACAAGTGGGGATACGCGAAGCGTGAAGACTTCCTAACGCACCTTGCGACATATCAGATTGACCGCGGCCCCTGCTCCAAACGATGGCTCCGGCGGGCGGCTTCGTCGTTCGATCGGTTGTTTGGTTGTTTTTATCGTCGCTTGCTTTACTGCCTTCCGGCTCGTTGCGATCGTCGCTCGACTCCTGACTGACTACCTGGGCAAGGACCTTTTCGTTGCCAGGGAAACGCGGGAAGAGGCGACGGATGTTGGCGCGAGCCCCTAGAAGCTGGGGGGCCCAGAATCTAGAAGAGCCCTCCCCCCAATCCCAACAGAGCGTCGCGCATTCCCAGGCTTTACGGGTACATGAACGTGAAGCTCTCAAGCCCTCCTACGCCACCACAAACATCCTCAATTCTCGAGGGCTTCGAACACCTCCTGGTAGCTCCGGGCAGCTCCAGATCGCCCCAGTGCACTCTGAAATTGCCTCTAGCAGTTTACAAAAATACGAATCCCATTTCAAATGGAAGCGCAAACGCGTCAATTGATTGAGCAACACTGTGAAAAGCAAGTCCAAACCATCATCATGAAATTCACACGAAAACACGAAGTCCATCTTCCAACATACTGTCTCAAGCAAACATCAATCAAACTTTCCAACACAATACCCTAAACCATACACTCTACAAGACGTCCAAGTGACGGAACATGTACACATCATCGCAAGCTACATTCAACGTGCAAATCAAAGTGCCATGATACAGTGTGGGCGCGGCTGCAAGAAACCCTCGCAAGAAACCCAACCCTGAGAACACGCGGACGAGGTGCACCTGAGGGGGAACCCGGAGCACCCTGAACGCAGCAGCTTCTTTGACGGCCGCGGGGAGTCACCGCGCAACGCGCGCGGAGCGAAGAAACCCAGGGTACCCTGACGAAAAGCAGATGGTTTCTTGATGCGCGCCCTCACAGCAAATCGAACACGCATTCTAATGACAGCCGCAAGTACCATCTGAAGTCAAAGTTGCGTTGCCTAAACATGTCGGAGGACAAGACTCTCGCAGAAAAGCCTCAAGGGTCCTTACTGAGCACCTTACGCCCCTGAAGGGATCTCAAAGAAACCGCTCTCACAAGAGCTGTTCAAGGAGGCCCTCACAGAACCCCTGAAAGTCCTAAAGGGGCCCCGCACGGCCCCAGGGCAACCCAAACTCCAAGAGCCCCCAGGAGCCAGGAGCCCCAAGAAATTCAAAATCCTTCAAAAAGATATACAGAACATTATCAATCGTTCCTCCTAAAGCCGTTTTCGGGGCCCTCTGAGGAACTACTTGGAGCGTCTTGGAGCCTCGTGAGCCACAGGTCTAGGCGAGCCGCGCACATCCCCATCTCACTCGCGCATCCAAGCAACACGTTCAACATGCAGAATGAACTGGGGAATGATATAGGTAGTGTTGACACAGCAGGTGATGCAGCAGGATATACACAAGCCATCGCAGCAAGTATATATACATATATAGAAAAACTGATTAGCATTTGCACGGCTAGTGCAGCGCAATGTCCTGCGACTTGTTCGTGTAGTTTCGACTTGGACGGCTGACATATTCAAAGACATTTCCATTGATATTTCTTTGGAGATGATCCTCTGATTCGAGCTTCGTTTTGTATGTATCTCGCAGTTCGAGGAGGACCATGTTTCGCAAATTCGCCGCATCTATCCCGAATAATGCCCACTATGCTGTGCTCGGTGGCGGTGTCGCACATGGCAAAATGGCAATACCCCTGCCCCTGCCCCCGAGTAAACGAAGGTAGCTCGAAAAGGGGTTGGGTAATCTAGGGCTGCCTCTTACTACGTCCTCCCGAACCAGGCGCTGCACGCGAAGCTCCGTGGGCCCAACGGGGCAACAAACAAATCGACGACGGCGGCGGCGGCAAGGACGATGACGACGGCGACCGTCGACTCATTCGACACCCTCCCGAGCTAGGCCCTGCACGAAGCTGTCCGGAGCCCGCCGCACCGCGTTGCCGCTGGGGTTGTGCCAGCGCACGAAGCGCTCGCCGGCCTTGCGCGCGGCGGGGGTGACACGTCTGGCACCGAGCTCCACCCAGAGAAGTACGCGGATGGACGGCCGGTTGCTTGCACATTCTGGCTCCCGCCTTCGCGCCAAGCGCACTCGGTTCAAAAGCTCCCAACGGTTACACTGATGGACGGCGGGTCGTTTGCACACGTTGGCTCTCGCCTCAGCGTCGCGCGCACGTCTCGAAAAGTTCAAACTGTTACACGCATGGACGACGGCCCTCGGCTCAAAGCCGCGCACATTAGCTCTCACAGTTGTCAACCAGTGCGCGGATGGAACACACAGATCGATTTCAACTTGCAAACCTTCAGGACAAAAACAACTTCAAGGATGGAGCACCAGGTTGCTCAAGAGACGGCTTACGCATGAGCACCGTGCAGATCATGAAAGGTGGTCCAAGACTGGGACTTGCAATATTAAAACAACTGCGCCCATTGAGAAACGGAGCGGAACGGAACACTGAGAAGGAGCTGCGCGAGCTAGCACCCGGCTGCGTGCCCCAAAGGCAGGCACAGCGTAAGTTGGTCAGCCAATCGTGCTGGTGGGCGTCCGCGGGCTTTTTGCCCGTCTGGCATCCAATTCTGCGATCTTCCTGCTCAAAACTCAGGATTCAAGCTGCCCTATCGTTCGCTCCAACTTTGAAGCATGGAACACCGCTCATCGATCGATCTGGCTATTTCGAAATGCTCCAGCACTTGTCATTGGGTGCGGCCCCAAATTTTCAACTGCGGCTCTTGACTGGGGCGCGATTGCCTTGACGAGACACTGAATATTGATACGCCTTGCCGCTGCATGGCGGAGGCCGGTGCATCTCCTACTTGTCGCACGCACTCGTCCCGAAGCCAGTACTTGTTCCTAGGAAGGGGGGCCTCCTCCTCAATCATATCTCGAACTCTGATATTACCTGGTGCCCTCCAGTGCTGTGGTGTATGTAGTTACTCATATGTATAAGTATGTAGTTACTCATATGTATAGATATGGGATACACAAATACATTCTTCAAGCAGTGCTTCTACTTGGGGGTCTTTACTTGTTCTCGAAGGAACTGGCCCTGCATGGCGGTTTGGCGGCTATGTTGTCGCCGTCGTCGCCCCGTCGCCGCTGCGCATCGTCTGGGCGTGAATGGCGGTCTGGCATCCATGATGTCGCCGTAGCCGCCTCGTCGCCGCCCGGCGTCCGGGCCTGAACGGCGGGTTGGCGGCTTTGTTGTCGCCGTCGCCGCCCCGTCGCGGCCCGTCGGCTGGCCCAGAATATCGGTCTGGCGGTTACGTTGCACAACGTCGGTCGCATCGTATACATTGCATTCCATGGATTGCACCATGTAGATTCTCTTCTCTAAACAGTAAATGAACTACACCCCCCTCCCTCCGGGATTCTCGACACCCCTTCTCGTAGTGCAATTTACATATGATTCTGCCCCATTGTCCATCCGAAATATGAAGTCCCGGAGCGGCTCTGGAGAGGCCCGGGGGGGGGTCCCCCCATGGCGAGTCGAGGCAGCTGGCCAGAGGCCCCCCGGCCCCGTACCCCGACATATATATAGAGAGAGAGAGATGTATGGCTATATATGTGCCTGTAACTGTATGCCTAATATACACAAGTGTGTATGTAAGCATGGACACACATATACATATGTGTTTATATGCAGCCATGTATCGTTTAAGCAATCCGCATACATTTATGTGCATGTATATGTAGACATCTTCATATGTTCATGTGTGCGCAATTCATTTCCCTTTCAGCGAAATGGGGGATCCTACCAAGCAAATTCGTGAGGCCCTCCACCTAACCGAAATTGCGAGGTATGTGTCGCGGCCGCTCGTGCAGATCCGGGGAGGTGACTTGGGAATAGCCGGTGTACGGCAGCTAAAGTGGTGCGAGTTAGCATTACTTACTCACTCTGGTTCTCCACCTGCTTCTCCCTCTACTCGTCCTCCTCGTATTCGCCCTTGTTATGCGGAAACGTCCCACACATGGAATCATAGATGGAACCACCAAGGTATGGCGAGTGTCAACTGGGGACGATTGTTGGAGATGCTCGGGGACTGCCCCAATCGAAAGTATCCAACAACGATTCCAGGAGACGATGCCCGCTTCAGGATCCCGTACCGCTTCAAGCGAAGTCTCGCCACACGGATGCTGCTGCCTGGCCAGAACAGTCAGCCTCGAATCGGGAAATCGGGTCGGATCGGAACGTGTATCGAATTGGACCACATCGGCTCGGAATCGGACTCGGATCGAATCGGCGGCGCCAAGAAGCATACCACCGCCATGCGAGCTTCGGGCCGCTCCGGCTCGCCCGAACATCGAAATCAAATCGAACCAGGCGACCCAAGGCCGACATCGAATCGGATCGATCGGATCGACATGAACCCTGCCTGGTGGGAATGCGTGTCGAGATGCCGTTGAATTTGGACGCCCCAAACGGGTACGGAAAAAAATGCTGTCCAAAATCGACAGCGGCTGCTGTTGGGCAGGCGGCCTTCTGTCTCAAATGGAAAACGTTCGCGGCGGCGCGGACAGCGAGTCCTGTTGAAATGAACAGGATCTCGTACCCGTTCTCGCCGTACAAATTTCGTTCGTGCCGAACAATAAAAGTGGCAAGCGCGACTGGCGAACGCCATGCGCGGCAGGTTAGGCCTCTACGCCAGACACCTCGAGCTGCCTGGTGAAGATGCTCTTGCCGCCCGGGTGGCGGGCCTGCCAGGTGCGCACAGGAGTGTGGAGAGCAAAGCCACAAAGGCAGAACGTCCTCCTCCGCCTCCTCCTCCTCCTCCTCCTCCTCCCCCTTTCGCATCATCATCACCACCACCATCATCATCACGGCTCCACCAAGCCTTTGGACACGGAGTGTCACAAGTGATGGCCTCCCGTGCCCCCTCCAACAATCGCCACCGAGAATGCTGGGCTGGCACGATGGCGGGACTTGCCGCAGGCAGCTGGATAAGGTCAGAAGGAGGGACAACAGTGGAGAAAAGGAGCAAAACGGACGGGCGGGCGCAAGGGGGGCGCTCGCCCGTTTCGATCGCAGTGGCCAGAACGAGCAAAATTGTGCTGAGGAGGCATAACGATTAACTACACAACTGGTTGCGAGATGGGCGGGCGATCGAACACTGGAGACCCTGATAATTTGAGGGAGTAATGCAGGATGGCGATTCATAAAAACTAGGGGGAACGATTGAAAAAAAAGCGTCTTAGATTTCTATCTGATTCTTCAACGGGAGGAGGACGAATACAAAAAATACGGCTTCGAATATTGCGTGAAATACTCCTTACACGTCGTCGTTAAATTTTACTTCAAGTAATCATTCGACGTCGACTTCCAATTTTACGTAAAATGCCAATTCTAAGTCGGCTTCAAGCTTTGACGTCAAATACTCGTTCCACGTCGGCTGCAGACATTATGTCTAGTGCTCATTTGACGTCGGATTCAAATGTTACGTCAAATACACAGTCCACGCCGAATGTAAGTTTTACAATAAAGTAGTTTGCCAGTGCGGACGGCAGGGGTGGAACGATTAAAGAAATAATTTCCCAGCCCGCGGCCGGTTTTTTCGAATCATCCTCCGGGGCGCCGACGACGCAACACGACCCCCGGTCATGTATTACTCGCCATCCTACATGATCTGTGAATCACATCATTCTGACCACCCCCGCGCGAGGAAATCAAGCCCCATCGCGCCCCCAGGGACCGTTTCCGGGTCGCGCGCCGGGCGTGTCCCACCAGGGCTCTCGCTCGAGACATCCTCGCAACATCGACCCCGGCGCGCGAGGAGGTCAGGCCCCACCGCGACCCCATGCAGGGACCAATTCTGGGGAGCGCGCCAAGGCGCGCCGGGCGTGTCCGAGCAGAGCTCTCGCTCGAGACATCCTCGCAGAGTCGGCCCCCGGCGCGCGCGGAGGTCAGGCCCCACCGCGCCTTGGGCCGGGCGTGTGCCAGCAGGGCTTATCGCTCGAGACAGCCTCGCAGCCAACCCCCGGCGCGCGCGAAGAAGTCAATTGCCCCATCGCTGGGGCGCCCCGGGCGTGTCCCGACAGGGCTCTCGCTCGAGACCTCCGCGCGAGGTCAACCCCCGGCGCGCGAGGAGGTCAGGCCCCACCGCGCCCCCGAAGACCAGTTCTGTAGCGGTCGCCGGGGCGCGCCGGGCGTGTCCCAGCCTCGGGCTCTCGCTCGAGGCATCCCCGCAACGTCGACCCCCTGCGCGCTGAGTCGCCACATGCCCCACGCTGGGAGGAAGGGGAGGAGGAGGAGGAGGAGGAGGAGGAGGAAACGCCACATGCTCACGCAGTAGGTCCGCGCAACGTCACAAAGGAGGAGGATATGGTGTAGGAGGAGGAGGAGGAGGAGGAAAAATGCGAGGACGAGGAGGAGGAGAGTTGGAGGAGGAGGGGGAGGAGGAGGGGGAGGAGGACGAGGAGGATGGAGATCATCAGAGCGATAGTTACTTCTCTTTCGTGAGCTGGGGTTGTCGTGCACGTACGGCACATCGCTCGCATCTGGCAGGCTCTGGCTCTCGCTCGAGACATTCTCGCAAACCGAGCGAGGAGGTCAGGCCCCACAGCGCCCCCAGGAACCATCTCCGGGGCGCGCGCCGGGGCGCCCCGGGCGCGTCCCACCAGGGCTCTCGCTCGAAATATCCTCGCATGGGGCGCGAGGATGTCAGGCCCTTCGCCTTCCTGCTCCAAACTCGCCTAATCCTCACCCGCGTGACCCTCTCTCCTGATTCTTCCCCTCGCAAGCCTCGTCCTCGTGATCCTCGCGGTCATTCTGATCTCGATCATTCTCCTCTCGCCCGGAAGCGCACAGCAGAAACTTCCGATCAGCCGCAGAGCGACCGGCTAGTATAATCATAGATCACGAACATCCAAGGATACGTGGAAGAAACAATAGCGAAATTTGACAACGATGCCTACAAACCATATAACACCATATAATAACATTTTTCCTGAAATGGTATCGACTGAAATATCGTCCCTCTCTCCCGTAACCATTAACCCCGCAGTCGGCCTCACCGCGGAGGAAGGGGCCGATATCGAATACCTCGGGATGAAGCGAACACCAATGCAAGGAGTATGAACGACAGCGATGAGAAACGATTCATCAAAGTGCACTGTGAATCACGAATCTGTCGCAAAAAGAAAGACAAACAAATCGCATTGAACGCTAGCAACAATCAACAAAAGCTTGTCAAATATCCCGGTGCACGCTGCGTTCCTGCTATTGGACACGGAATGAACACAGGCCGGGTCGTGTTTTGACCTACTTGACCGCGCCATGCGATGATCAGTCTAAGCAACGAGCACGATGGCATGCGCTGTACTCGTTGAACAATCACTAGAACAGCCTTGCTTCGTACGCCACTCTGCCGCGCAAGCGCCAAGCGCGGTACCTTGTTATCGATCACGCACCAGAAGTCCTGTCTTTGATCAGAGCAGCCATCCAACAGACACGATGGATGCACGCAATTCGCCGTTCAGCAAGTCAAACTTACCTTGCGAGACCCGCATCAGCGCATCAGCCTTCACGAGCATTAAGCGGCCGCAGATAAAAACCAATGCGCTCTCTGAGTTGACATGCTACTTCCTCACAAAAGCCCACTGTGTGCCGATGCATTCGCAATCTTGCGGCTCGTGCGTAAACATGCCTGCGGCTATGAATACGTCGACCAACTGCGTTTAACACATGAGTACGCTGGCGCGGCATGTTCTGAAGGCGCCGCGCGCCCCTCCGGTACAACGCAAACTACAGGGGATTCGTCAAGTTATACCTGTAGCTCAGATGGGGTCCAGAGGGGGAAGGGTGGGGCACGGGAGTTCAGAGGGAGAGAGAGGGAGACAAAGAGAGACAGAGAGAGAGATAGGGAGAGTCAGAACGAGAGCAGATAAAAGAAGGTCCGCGCCTCTGATGTTCTCTCTCCTCCCACGTTCCCCTCCCTTCCCACCCCTCTCCACCTCCCTCCCTGGTCCCCCATCCCTCCACCCTTCCACTCCTCCCTCCCCGCCGCCTCGCCTCCCCCTCCCTTTCCCCCATCCCTTCCATTCCAGCCCTTTCTGCCTCTGGGCTGGCCTCCCCCCCCTCCCCGTCTGGTTCTGCCCGTGCGCAGGCGCCCTCCCCCCATTCGAAGGTCGGCAATCCTCGAACGACGTGTGCTTGGCCACCTCGGGCGAAGCCCCCGCCGGACAGGGCGGCCACGTGGGGGGGGCAGAGGGGAGCCCAGAATCGAATCGGCAAGTCGAATCGGGGATCGAAATCAATCGGATCGGCGGAAATCGGCAGACAAGTCGGGAGGAGTCGAATCGGCAGATATCGGCAGAATAGTCATGCCTCGTTGAGAAAAAGAAATTCCAAATCGGAATCCAAAGTCGAATCGCATCGGAAGAATCGAAACGAGTCCTGGGGGGAGGCCGGAGCCTACCATCACGAGAGGCGAACGCATCCACGCCCACGCCTTCGCGGTCTGGACTCGGGCGCGCGAAATCTTGCAGGCGCGCGGTTGCACGGACACGCTGCGCGCGGGGCATCCGCGAACAAAACGCCCCGCATCCGAAAGGTCGCGGCCTAGGTTCCCGGCTTGCATGGTTTCCCCCCGGGCCGTAGGCGACCCGAGGAGGAGGAGGAGGAGGAGGAGGAGGAGGAGGAGAAGGAGGACTGACTGACTGACTATGACTTGGATCCATCGTGTCGTTAACTGCCTCTGACACGACCTCATGTAGTGCGGAATAAAAACTTGCAGCGTCAATCTGGATCTGTCGGGGCAAGCCCCCTCGCTACGCACAAGCGCGCGGGTGCCATGTAGCACTCTGGCACTGCACGCACCCTACCCCTGCGCTGGCAGGCTAGGGGCATGCGTGCACTCGGATATATAATTATATGCAGCTGTCTTGCCTCTGCACGTTTAGCAGCGAAAACTTTAACGTGCTCCTCTCAAGCACTGGCGGACAAAAAAACGGCGGTTGAATCCCACCAGCCCTCTGGGCGTAGGTGGTCTAGAGCAGATCCTCTTCCACCCCTCCCTCTTCCCCCTTGGGGAGGGGTTTACCCCTCCCCCTACCCCCTCCCCTGGACCTGGACGGGGGGGGCCGCTGGTAGTTAGAGCGTCCCAGATGGCCCAAGACGGCTCCAAGAGCGCCTCAGAGAACCCAAGATGAGCTCCAAGATGGCTCAAGATAGCGCAAGATCGCTCGAGATGGCTCCTAAGATGGTTCCAAGAAGCCCAAAGACGGCCCCAAGATAACTCCAAGTGGCCAAACAGCTCCCCAAGGAGGCCCCGAAGAGGCCAAAATCGTCCCAAAACCTAAGGAAAATCAATGATTTTTGCTTTCTCGCCTTTTCGCTTCCGATGGCCATCCGAGGCCTGGAGATGGTTCCAAGATGGCCCAAGAGGGCCCCAAGAGAGCCCCAAAAGAGCCCCAAGACGGCCCCAAGAGCGCCCAAGAGCACTCCAAGAGCGTTCCAAGAGGGGTCCAAGAGGCGATTTTAGGGGCTTCCGAGGGGGGGCGCTAATTGAACCCCCCCTCTTGTTTGATCGATCTCCTCCAAGATGGCCCCAAGAAGCGCCCAGGAAGCCCCAAGAGGTCCCAAGATGGCCCCAAAATGGCCCCAAGAGGCCCCCAAGAGGCCCCCCGGAGGCCCCCAAGAGACCCCCAAGAGGCCCCAAGAGCCCCCCCAGATGCACCCAAGATGCTCCAAGAGGCCTCGGCGAGAATGCCTAATCATTGATTCTACACAGGTTTTAGCCACATGGAGGCCTCTTGGGGGGGGGCACGGATTAAGATGACTCCAAGAGCGTCTGGGAGAGCCCAAAATGACCTCCAAGATGGCTCAAGATATCCCAAGATGTCTCATAATGGCTTCCTCTGTGTGCTGCCCACTTCTCTGATCGAGGCAATTCCTCTGGGCATCGTTTCTGGATGGGCTGGTGGGGATTCGCGAAGCGACAACAATTTGAGAGGCGTTTTATTCCTCACTTACAGCCACGTGCTCCGGAACAGCGTTCCCGGAGCACGTTGGAATATCTATGCCGCTGTCTTGCCTTTGCCGCGCCTGCCTCGGCCTCAACTCTTACCTTTGTCCTGCCGAACAGGCAGGGGGCGAGGAGTGAGGAGAGCGGGGTCAACTGAGGATTGCAAAACTGGCGCTGGCTGACTAGGAGCAGGAGCGGCACTCAGGAAGCCCGCGGTCTCCAGAGCTCGGTAGCGCTGACTGTCGCGAAACGTGGGCGGCGCCGAGCGCGGGGCCTCTCGGCTCCGGCTGCTCTGGCTCAAGTCTGGCGTCACGAGTCAGGCTCGCGTCTGAACCTATGGAACTGGTTCTCCCACGAGTTGCAGTATCACTTCGTCGCGAGGACGAGGCGGTTCAGCTCGCGCTGGCGTGGCCCCCGCGGTGCTGCGCCCAGCTTCCGCTGGCCTCCCTCTTTCTTGATCTCGGCGATGATGATGTCCCGAATCAGCTTCATGTTGCGCTCGTGCAAGTCGAAAGAAAAGATTAGCCGCACTTTCTCCTTCTTGTTGGGGGCCTTGTTCTTCTTCGCCTGGAAGTGGGTGATGCAGCTGCCCAGCGGCTCCGGCCCCTCCGCACAGACCACCGTGCGCCAGAACTCCTCGAGCACCTTCTTGGCTTCCGGGTCCACCAGGGTCGCCAGCCCTTTGATCGTCGCCGCTGCGATCACCAGGTGCGGCGGGCCGAGGGCCGCCGTGTCGGTCTGGCTGTCCACCATGTGTTGCTCCTCCAGCTCCTTGGCGTCGGCGTCGTATTGCTGGCCTGCTTGAATGGCGAACGTGGGGAGCGGCTTGGATGCGTCCATCTCCCAGGCTTCGTACACTGTGGCCTGCAGGTCCTGTACGTCTTTGGCGACTACGAACGCCAGCTTGGCCGAGGTGACCGCGATCTGCTCCACCCTGTCCCAGTCCTTGCCCTTGCCCGCGCCCTTGCTCTTGAACTGTTTGTTGGGGTCGTTCTGGTCCGTCGCCGCCGCGAGCCCCCTCTTGCCCGCCCACGCTGGTCCAGTGGCGAAAGCGTCCACCATGGCTGCGTCCCCTGCTGTGCCTGATGCCGCCGCCGCCGCCGCCGCTTCGCCTGGCATCTTGTCGTGGAGCGCCGGCTGGGCGCGAGGCGGCCGCGGTCGGGGCCGAGGTCGGTCGGTGCGCTGGAGTCGGAGGCTGCAGAATTGTTCGGGGAAAATGGCTGCGGATGTGGGCAAAGAACTGTTGTTTGTCGTTGTCCGCATACCCGCATATTCTGCATCTCTGGTCAAAGTCCTCCGCTGGTTTCATCGTTCTGCTTCTGTCCGAGGGGCATTGTCCACGCAGAAAGGCCTTCATAAGATGCCTGCCCGCTGTGCTCCGTTCCCCGAAAATCGTACCGCAATTTACACACTCATTGTTGATGGTCAGGAGGAAGGCGAGGTTGCTGAGCTTGTGCTTGCTTCGCATATATGATATTAATGCTTTACGCGATCCAAAGCACATCCCGCACACCATACCTTCACACTGTGATCCTGGGAGAGTCGGCGCAGGCACAGGCATGTTTGGCAGCGTCGGCGCAGCAACATCGTCCATGAGCTCGCATCTCCACGGCGCAATCTCTGACAGGACCGTCTCCTCCTCCGCTACGTCTGCTGCTGCTATGGAGGAGGAGGAGGAGGAGGAGGAGGAGGAGGAGGAGGAGGAGGAGGAGGAGGAGGAGGAAGGGTCGCCTGACCCCTTCGGAGAGACCCTCCTGGGCCCGGCTCGCGAGGCTGTGGACACGGACCTGTTGTTCGCCCACACCGGGGGGGAGGGCCGGAGCCCACCAGCGGGGAGAGCCGAGCCCCCGGGTCCCTGGAGCAACCGCCCGGGAGCCTCGCGCTGCGGGCGTCCTCCGCGCCTCGCGCTTCCGCTGGTGCGCGGCCGGTCGCGCGCCCTCACGGAAGGGTTTTCGCGCGGAAGGGCAGGTGGGAGGCGGGAAGTCGGAGGAAGGATCGGGGGGTGCATCGGAGGCGGGCAGGGGGGAGGGGGTGTTCTCACGTCGAGGCGACATCCAAACACACCATGTGTGGAAAGAAAGCCTTCTGCGAAAGACGGAAGCGCCATTGACACGCTTTGGATTGATTACGGCTCGAAGGATACATACACATATATGTGTGTATGTATGTATATATATATATATATATATATATATGCTATATATATATAATATATATATATATATATATATATATATCCGCCGATCCGGCGTGTGAGTTTCAAGGAGTCTCAGCTACAGCCTCGAGGCTGAGCCTCAGCCTCTGGGGGGGTTGCCGGGGTGGCTCTGCCGGGGAAGGGGGGGTGGGGTGGGGGGGGGGTGCGAGTTTCCGGCGGATGCGTTTTTTGACACCCCTCACAAGGATCGTGGCCTCCGGGGGGGTTCCGAACTCGAGTACCACCCCTCCCGCACCAAGAGGCTCCGAGGAGGCCTCCAAGAGGCCCCAAGTGTCCCAAGCTGAGAGCACGGCAGGAGGTGTGGAAAAGAGGGCGAAGGGGGGGGATATATTTTGCTAGGCACCAGCAGTGCATCCTAAGCCCAAAAGGGCTACGGAAAGAGTCCGAGCCCTAACCCACGACTAAACCCGAAGAGCGGGGGAGGGGAGGTCGAGAGAGAGAGAGGGACCGGGGCCCTCGAGGGCCCGAGGGCCACCGGGACCCCACGGACCTCCGGGACCCGGACCCCGGGGCCCGAGGAGGACAGCGGGCCAAACTTTGGCGGGTTTAGCGTCCGCCACGCTGGTCTCGCGCACGTCGACGTCCGATGCACAGCCAGCGCGCGGCCCGGCCTGGACCACGATGTAGGCAGGCTCTGGAATCTGGCGCGCGGGGTTCTGCGGCCGCCCGCGCGCTGGGCCTCCTCCTCCTCCTCCTCCTCTCTTTTCTCCTCCGCCCCTCACCTCCTTCACCTCCTTCTCAACCGCCTCCTTCGCTTCCTCCTCCTCTGCCTCATCTTTCTCCTCTTCCTCCTCTCCTTCCTCTGCTTCCTCTACCTCAGGGAGCCCTGGGCCCCTCTTCACCTCAGCTGACCCGTTCTTTAGAGACTCGTCCTTAGCTGCCAGCTCGAGAGCACGTCTACTGGCCCCGCGGGACCTACTCTTTAGGGCCTCGTTGAGGGCCCTTTCCGTCAAATGGCCATGTTCATCTACCAGAGACAA